AGGAATTGAATTGTGCAGCCATCAGAATGCAAGTTTTGAATAAGAACTCCAATTATTTTCAGAGGATTTCATTCTCATTGCCCGGTTCATCAATTGACTGTTAAGTGTTAATTCAATGGTTGTAATGGCAGAGTCAATTGTTAGATTGGTTGGTTAGCTCAGAATATTTAATGAGGTGATTAAAGTTAAAAGGCCCTTTAACACTAGGTCCTGTTTTCTTCTTTCAAAGAGGAATGAAGGTAATTATACCCAGGTGCTTGGACTGGGTCAGAAATAAATCATGTGATTTCTTGAGTTAAAAGGCCCTTTCACACAAAGAAAAGCCCTTTAACGGGAAGAAATCAGGTGATTTCTTTCTTGCTCAGGATTGGCCAATTTTAGGAAAATCGAAGAAGTGATGGCCAATTCTTGTCCTTGAGTGAGGCTCAGTGAGTCTTGCAAAAACAGGATTTTTGCGAGACTCACTGGCCTCAGAAATGCAACAAGTTTTCTGGTCCAGTTGCAGCTGGATGCGGGAGCTGCTTTGCTTTGGTATGCAACATAAACTACTCATGCTTTTTTTTCAATTTTCCTATTGGAACTCATCATATCAATAAAAATGTGTTGGTTTTTGCAGTAATGCTTCATGCAAACAGAGGATAAAACAGTCAGATGCAATTGAGGAGGATATGCTGTAGTTGCTGGTTAATATGCTTCATTTCCTTAAAATGAACCACACACATGGTAATAAGTCATTCCATTGGTCAAAATTTGAAGCATTTTGAGTTTGAATTTCCCTTTATCTAAATGATTTCTGATGGAGACTCCGAATCTTCAGAACTGTATGAGGGAAACTACAGGAGAAAAGTGCTTCTGCTTTCTGTTCATTTCTCAACACGAACCAGGAAATCCTGTTTTATTTAAAATTCAGAAAACATAAGTATTTAATGAAATCCCTTTTTCGGGAAGAGAAGAAACCGCAAAATGAACAGTTTTGGCGTCCAAAGCAGCGGCCGTGAGGAAAACAGTTGAAATGTTACTTTTTGATGCAAAAGGTCTGCAATATGTGCGATTGAAATGAAGGTGACAAGAATCATCGCAGCAATTTGTGGTTTGAAGAGAGGAAAAACCCAAATCTGACGATTAATTTTCTCATCGTCCTCTATATAGTAATATGGTGGATGCTGGTATTTAAAGTCCGGATTCGCTATGGAAAAAAGCATCAGAACGTATCCAGTCCAGAACAGTGAAGCATTATATCAGCCTAGTCAAAATTACCTGTTTTGATTTTAGAGTGCAAAACTGAAAATTTGCCTTGTGTGTAATACAAGCTTTCAAAGAATGAAAGTTTTGAGGATCATTGCATCAAGACATTTTTAAAAAAGATAATTTGCATTCTGTGAAAAAAGCTTTCAAAGAATGACAATTTTGAGGATCATTGCATCAAAAATTGCATTAAAAAAATTTCAATAGAGAATTTCTTCTGTGAAACAAGCTTTCAAAGAATGAAAATTTTGAGGATCATTGCTGCATCAAAACTTGCATCAAAAATTTTGTTTACTAGAGAATTTGCATTCTTTGAAACAAGCTTTCAAAGAATGAAAATTTTGAACATCATTATATTGTACATCAAAAATTGCATCGGAGTAAGCTTCACTTAATTAAAACGGGATATTCGTAATAATGCAGCTNTGCTCATATATTGTATCAACCATTTCCGAGACCTTCGAATGCTTGGCTTGACCAATTTGCATTCCGTTTATTTTGCAGGCTTTAATTTTAATAACAAAAACCACAACCTCGTCAATAACCCCGTCGAATTCATCAATACCGAAAATATGCAGTCCGCTGGAAAGGTGAGACAATACATATTATTTTTAAAGTAACTTATTTATCTCATGCAATTTTAATACATTTAAAATGTCAGAGCATATTGGATGAATTTTAATTGAATGAACTTAATCGCGGACATCAAAAGGTATTATACTGATGCATCGTACAAACTTTTTTATTCTATGTATCCAAATATATTTTTATCCGAAACAGATGATCTTCGCTTTTGTCCTTCTTTCGGGACTGATTTGCGCTGCTCTTGCAGAACCGAACCCAAATTATATGTAAGTGAAGTATTCTGAAACAAATTTTCAGTAATTTTTGCATTTGTTTCTTAAAATTTCAATTATTGAGGAGTTTTCCTTCTTTGTTTGTCTATAGGCCAGCAATGGCTTACGGAGGAATGATGAGCAGCTCTTCAAGTGGAATGTCGATGCAAATGAAAGGAAAACCCAAATATTATACGAAGTATCCCAAGAAGAAATACGTTGTCTCATACAAACAGAAGAGACCACAAAAGGGGTAAGTTTGAATTGAGCCATTTCCAAATGGACGCGGGATTTTTGCATATATTTTGAAAATTGCAAACCTTCTGTTCGTGGAGAACTTTTTTCAGTTTTGTGAATAACTTTATGATTTTTTCAGATACGGTGGCAGCTCTTCGTCGTCTTCTTCCGATGACGATTATTGAAGCTACTGTTATTCCAACGGAAACTGGGATAATGATGATTTGAACTTTCTCGAATATTTATTTGGAATTGAGTCTAAATCGTGAACTCGTGCATGTCTTTGATGCATATGAGAGGAAAATTTCCTGAATTATTCTGTCTTTTCTTCCCATTTGTAATTTTTTCACCATGAAATGCATCGAAATAAACTTGAGCTTCTGTTTATACTTCGATAATCGCCTGAATTTTCATTCCCATTGTACAGATGCCATTTTTTGTGAGTTTTCACCGTGCCTTTTTCTAAAAACGTTTACAATTACTGATGTATGAAGTTGCCCATTTTTGCAATCAATTTATTTTATCGCAATATCGTACACTTCTGTAAGGCTAAATTCGCTTTTCAGTACGGATTCGAAAAAGGAAGTCGTGTGTGATTCCAAATTCATGGAAAATTGGCATAAATTCAACCAATTTTTAGAATTATCTGAGCCTTGTATCACTTGAGCTAATATCGTGCCACACACTTTTTAAAATGTCCAACTGGCCTAAAATAATGGAGATGAATGGTGCAGCGATTTTCTTACCAACATTTTTGGCCAATTATTCAGGTTGAAATTAAATTCATTGTGATATGACACATATCAACACAACACTTTGCCTTCAGACTATTCAGCACTAATTGAGCGCTTTAAAGATTCATGCGACTTATAATTTTTCAAAAATCATATTGTTGATTTTTCATGGTTAATGCGTCCGTGTGGAGAGATTTTTTCTGCATTTTGATTCATACTGCTGAACATTTGGGAGTTGAAGACCATAAAATGATGTTTTTTGTTATTTTACATCATATTTTCATTCCGGGAAAGATGAATTTGAAACAGTGGTGTAGGAGGAAAACAGAAATCACAAAACAAATTTATTTGCTCATCCAAAACATCAATGGCAAAAACCCCAAAACCAATTATGTGGCAATCCTCTTCAGCAAAATAAAGGCACTTTCAAGTGCAGATACATGAGATTGGTCGGAAATTGCAAGAACCCACGTATATTCTTACTGTGCAGAGAAAAACTCCAGATTATTCTCTGACGACACGGATATATAAGGAAGTTTCTATATTAAATTATGTGAATGGGTTACCCTTGGGGGTAAACCAATATAAATTTCAAAATATAGAGGACATAAAGGTACTCGTATGCTGGGAACATCTGCACTTTTCCCAATGAAGTGAAAAAGGTCGACATAAAGCACAGTCTTGAATTCTTTATAAGCCCAATGATTTTTCCAAAAGTTTGAATCTGTCCATTCAGAGAGTACAGTCAACCCCTTTCTAACGGACTTGATTTGTGCAAGGGACAAGTCTGTTAGACAAAAAGTCCTTTACATGAATTCAATTACATAAGAAATTAAAAATTTCAATTTTC